CGCCTGGCTGATTTTTTGATTTATTGTAGAGGTGAGGGTCTCGCTGCCCAGGCGGGTCTCGAACCCGCGGGCTCAGTCAATCCACTCACCTCAGCCTCCCAAAGGCGCGGGATTATAGGCTGAGCCACCGAGCCCGGCTTAATTTTTAAAAATTATTTTTTAAAATTATTTTTTGTTGGGACAGGGTCTTGATATATTGCCCAGGCTAGTCTCGAACTCCTGGCTTTCAGTTATCTTCCTACCTCAGGCCACCAAAGTGCCAGGATTATAGGCATGAGCCACCACACCTGGCAATATGTAGTATATTTTAGTAGACTTTTTAAAGCATTGATGTCTGATGATGTCTCAGTGGAAATGGAATTTTATGGTGTGTTATGTCAGTTTGAAAAGATACTGTAGTTCTGATTACGTTTTTGCAAACTTTGTGGGGATGCACACTGTTTCTTTAAGCGAATATTAGGTTTGGTAGCTAACCTTTATTTATTTGTTTATGTGTTGTAGTTGAGGTCTCACTCTGTTGCCCAGACTGGAGTGCAGTGCCATGATTGTGACTCATGGCTACATCTACAGCATCTCGAGCAGGTGCGCACCACCATGCTCGGTTAATGTTTTGAGTTTTTGTAGAGATGAGGTTTTGCTATGTTGCCCAGGCTGGTCTTGAACTCTTGGGCTCAAGCAGTCTGCCCGCCTTGGCCTCCCAAAGTGCTGGAATTATAGGCTTGAACCGCCGTGCCCAGTGGTAACTAACCGTTAAAAAGCATATTTTCTTTCCTTTAAAATTTTCATAGGATGTCAGATAGACTAAGGAAAATAGTAATCACCTATAATTTTATATCTTATCTCTAAGATTTATTACCTCTACTTCTTTTTACTTTTTGTATTAATATCTTTTCCTAGAATTTGGATTATAACGATGTGTTATGAACAAACCTTCCTAGTTAATGGTGTATTGTGGGTATTAACCATGTCTTCTTTTATAATATCTTTTTATTTTTTATTGGCTATAAAGTAAAATTGCTTTTTTGTGTGTTTTAGTGATATAGGTACACACATGCATAGTTTCATCACAATCAGGATGCAGAACAGTTTTAACACCTGAAAAAACTTCCCTGTGGTCTCCCTTGCAGTACCACTAACCCGTGGTGACCACCTATCTGCTCTCCATGCTGTAGTTTTGTCTTTTTTACAGTGTTGCAGAAATGGAGTCATACAGGATGTAACCTTTTGATACTAGCTTCTTACACTTAGCATAATGCTTTTGAGATTCACTCAAGTTGTTGCACACATCAGTAGTTTATTCCTTTTGTTTTTCTGAGTTGGAGTCTCACTCTGTTGCCCAGGCTGGAGTGCAGTGGCATGCTCACGGCCACCCAATTGTCAATCTGCTGGACTCCGGCAATCCTTCCACCTCAGACTTCCAAGAAGCTGGAACTACAGGCATGCATTACCATGCCTGACTAATTTCCTGTTTATTGTAGAGACGAGGTCTCACCAAGTTGCCTGGGCTGGTTCTGAACGGGCAGGCTCAGGCATTCCATTCGCCTTGGCCTCCCAAAGTGCCAGGATTACAGGCTGAGCCACCGAGCCTGGCCTTTTTATTCCTGTCACCTTTTTTTTTTTTTTGAGTTGGAGTCTCACTCTGTCGCCCAGACTGGAGTGCAGTGGCCGCTCCCGGCCACCGTAGCCTCGACCTGTTGGGCTCCGGCGATCCTTCTGCCTCAGCCTTCCAAGTAGCCGGAATTACAGGCATGCGCTACCATGCCTGGCTGAGTTTTTGATTTATTGTAGAGATGAGGTCTCACTGCCCAGGCGGGTCTCGAACCCGTGGGCTCAGGCAATCCACTCACCTCAGCTTCCCAAAGGCGCGGGATTACAGGCTGAGCCACTGAGCCCGGCTCCTGTCACCTTTTATCCAGTCACTCTTTGAAGGACATTTGGAGTTTTCAGTGTTTGGTGATTCTATAAACATCTGAGTACCAATTTTTGTGTGAACATAAGCTTTTATGTCTCTAGGATAAATATATAGAAGTGAGATTACAGTGCCACTTGGTAAGTGTATGTTTAACTTTATAAGAAACTGTCAAATCAGTGTGACTGAGCCATTATACATTTCCATTAGGAATTGTACCTGCAATCCCAACACTTTGGAGACCAAGGTGGCCTTGAGGCCAGGAGTTTGAGAAGTTTGTGCAGCATAGCGAGACCCTGTCTCTACTCCAAAAAAAAAAAAAGAGAGCGAGAGAGATTTCCAGCTGTCTTTATACGGTTAAGGTGTCTATACTACCCAAAGTGATTTGCAGATTCATTGTAATTCCTATCAAAATCTCCAGGAATTTATTTTTTTCAGAATTATAAGAGTCCATCCTAAAATATATATGGAATCTCAAGGGATTCTGAATAGTCAAAGATAGCTTGAAAAAGAAGAAAGTTGGAGGATTTATACTTCCTGATTTTAAAATATAATACAAAATTACAGTACTCAAAACAGTGTGATATTGCATAAAGAAGCAACCTCAGTGTCCACTGATGGTTGAGTAGATGAAGAAAATTCTGACATATGCGATCTGACAATTAAGTTTGCGTACTCATCCTAGGAAAACTGCTGCACACCTCATTGCTGAGTATTACTATGGTCACCTTCGAAGTACTACTCCCCATGGGAAGCTATGTACTGACGTCAACACTTAGTCATCCCATCAAAGCAATTTTGAAACTCTTTCTGAAATGGCCATTAGAGCTATCATTGTATTACCCTTGATGTCCTGAATGTCATCAAAATGTCTTCCTTTCAATATTTCCTTTATCTGCGGGTAAAGAAAAAAGTCACGGGGGGGCCAGATCAGGTGAGGAGGGTGGGTGTTCCAATGCAGTTATTTGTCTACTGGCTAAAAACCCCCTCACAGACAGTGCTGTGTGAGCTGGTGCATTGTCGTGATGCAAGAGCTCTTTCGGGACCCTTTTGCACACACCTTTCTCATGCCAAGATTTTCAGTTAATAATTTCCTGTTCTCTATCGATGTGTATTTGGTCTGCTGTGCTACACACAGTCAGTCGATGATTTTGATGCACAATATGATGAATTTTTTTCAGTGTTTTTGTCAGTTCTGCTTGTTATTGGTTGTCCTAACCTCTCTTCATCAGTGATGCTCTCTTTTCCTTCAGAAAAACGTTCAATCTGTTTGTACACTGCAGTTTTCTTCATGGGATTATCGCTATAAATTTGGGTTGACTTGTCCCTGATTTCACTTCCACTCTTGCAAGGTTTAACAAGAAATGTCATGTTTGTTCATTGCTCTCCTTCAAGCTCCGACATTCTCACGATGGCACACAAATACATGCAACGATAATGAGCGCCACTCAGCAAGACACCACCACACATCAGCATGAACAGAGCTGTGAAACAATGATAGACCAAGGTGATGAAACCTTTCCGAGTTGTTTGTACAGTGCTGCCACCGTAAATGCATGGTGGCAAGTTCGTGAACTTCCTTGTCAGACCTCGTAGGCCCTAAGCATGGATGAACCTTGAGGATATTATGTTAAGTGAAATAAGCCAGTAACAAAAGGAAAAATACTGAATGAATCCATTCACATGAGATACTTAGAGTCGTCAAATTCCCAGAGGCAGAAAGTAGCATAGTGGTTGCAGGGGTGAGGGGGGGTGGAGGCGGGGACAAGGGAAGTTACTGTTTAAAGCATACACAGTTTTAGTTTTGCAAGATCTTCTGTGGATGGATAGTGGTGATGGTTACACAACAGTGTGAGTGTACTTAATGCCACTGGACTGTACATTTAAGAGTTACAGTGGTAATATGCCCTGAAGAACTCAAATCACTCTAAAAAAGATACCTGCACATGTATGTTTATCGCAGCATTGTTCACAATAGCAAGATCATGGAACCAACCATGCTGTCCATCAAAAGAGGACTGGGTTAAAAAAATGTGGTACATATACACAATGGAATATTACACAACATAAAAAAGAACAAAATCATGAATTTCACAGCATCCTGGATGGATTTAGAGTTTATAATACTGAGTGATCTCTCACAGAAACAAAGATCTGAGTATCACATGTTCTCACTCATAAGTGGACTTTGAACAACTATCGTAATACTGTAAGAGAAGGATTGACAATGGCGGGAAGCTATGGGGGGGATGGGAGGTGGGATTAACGGTAGTCAATTTCTGTCTGGGGATGGGGGGCATGCATTATCAACAAGGGTACCTACACAATGCATATTTGTATATCTAACCCTTAACTGTACCCCACAATTTTAAAATAAAAAATATGTATTTAAAAAAAAAAAAGTGGGACCTCATCAGATTAATGAGCTTCTGCAAAGCAAAAGAAACCATCAAGAGTGCAGGGAGACAACCCACAGAATGGGAAAATATATTTACCAACTGTTTATCCAACAAAGGCCTAACTTCTAGGATCTACAAGGAACTCAAACACACTGAAAGAAAAAAACAAACAGCCCCTTTAAAAAGTGGGCAAAAGGCATGAATAGACACTTCTCAAAAGAAGATATATGGGCAGCCGACAGACGCATGAAAAAGTGCGCAGCCTCACTCATCATCAGAGAAATACAAATCAAAAACATATTGAGATACCACCTAACCCCTGTAAGAATGGCCCTCATTAATAAGACAAACAACAACAGATGCTGGTGAGGATGTGGAGATAAAGGAACGCTTCTACACTGTTGGTGGGAATGCAAACTGGTGCAGCTTTTTTGGAAGATAGTGTGGCGATTCCTGAAAGAACTAGATATTGACCTTCCATATGACCCAGCATTTCCTCTATTGGGAATATACCTGGAGGAACTCAAATCATTCTACCAAAAAGATACCTGTACATGTATGTTAGTTGCAGCTCTATTCACAATAGCAAAAATATGGAACCAACCATGTTGCCCATCGAAGCTGGACTGGATTAAAAAAAATATACATGATGGAATATTATGCTGCCATAAGAAAAGACAAATATATGGACTTTTCAGGATGGATTTGGAGTCAGTCATACTCAGTGATTTATCACAGAAACAACAGAGTTCCATATGTTTTCACTCATAAACGGAACTTGAACAACTATAATGCTATAAGAAAGCAATTGGCAGTAGTGGGAGACTCTCGGGGGTGGTGGGTGGATGGGATTGGCAGTTGGAGAAACTGCTAGGGGGAGGAGGGGCATGCCTCATCAACAAGGGTGCCTGCATGATCAATGTTTATATACCTAACCCTGAAATGTACCCCACATCTTTATAATAAAAATTTTAAAAGAAAGTTACAGTGATAAATATCATGTACTTGTATCTTACCTCAGTTAAAACAACCAAATAATTAAAACAAATAATTAAACAACCAAATGGCATGTTCAGACAGTTCTGTTTCTGGATTCTTTCTTGATCCGTTGACAAGGCAGAGGTGTATGTCCTATCCCTTTGCTAGTATCAAACTTTTGTGGTACTGTAGCTTTATAGTGGGTCTTAAAATTACGTAGTAGGATTTGTCCAACTTTATTTTTTATCAGAATTGTTTTGGCTACTAGATCCTTTGCCTTTTCAAATAAATTTTAGCCTCAGCTTATCTTATGTCTAAAAAACCCACCGGGGATTTTGATGGAAATTGCATGAAATCTGTAAATCCTTTTGAAGAGTATTGACATTTTTACTATGTTGACTCTTCCAGTCCATGAACATCTTATTATTTAGATCAGCCTTTTGTGGTTTGTGGTTTTCAGCATATGTATCTTATATACCTTTTGCATATATGTGTGTCTATTTTATGTTTTAGAGCTAAAGTAAACTGATTTTTTTTTGTAAAGTTGTTTTGGATTGATCTATGCTAGAATATAAAAGTAGGATTGATTTTTATCTACATTGGTAATCATGCTGTTTGTGAATAGGGACAGTCTCATTTCTTTTTGATCTGTATGCCTTTTGTCTCCTCATTTCTGACTGCAGAGACTAGATCTTTTAGTATGACATTGAATAGGAATGGTGAGAGTATCCGTCTTCATCTTGTTCGTGATCTCTACCGGAAAATATTCAGTCTTCTACTGTTAAGTGTGTGGACATGCCAGGCCTAGTAGTGTGCGCCTGCAGTCCCAGCCACTCTGGAGGATTGCTTGAGCCTAGGGGTTCAGGTAGCCTGAGGGATGTGTCAAGACCCCAGCTCTAAAAAAAAAAAATATGTCAACAGCTGTAGGATTTATGTTCTTTATCAGGTTGAGAAAATTCTTACTGATTTCTAATTTCCTAAGAACTTTTTCCATGAAAGAGTGTTGAATTTTGTCTAATACACGTACTGACTTGATTATACAGTTTTTCTTTTTAAACTGTTAATATGGTGGGTTATGACTGGGCATGGTGGCTTAAGCCTGTAATCCCAGCACTTTGGGAGGCTGAGGTGAGTGGATTGTCTGAACTCAGGGATTCGAGACCAGCCTGGACAACGTGGTGAGACCTCGTCTCTACAATAAATTAAAAAATCGGCTGGGCGTGGTAGTGCATGCCTATAGTTCCGGCTACTTGGAAGGCTGAGGCAGAAGGATCGCTGGAGCCCAGCAGGTCAGCACTGGGGTGGCTGTGAGTGTAATACTACGCTCCAGTCTAGGCAACAGAGTGAGACTCCACCTCAAAAAAAATATGGTAGGTTACATTGATATACCTGTATCTATTTTTTTTAAATTGGAGTGCGGTGGCATACTCACTGCTGCCTGCTGGGCTCAGGCAGTCCATCTGCCTCAGCCTCCCAAGTAGCTGGAAATATGGATGTGAGCCACCACACCCAGCCTTGATTGATTTTTGAATATTGAACCAGTTTTGCATTCCTGGGATAATCTTAGTGGGCCCTGCTTTACTATTCTTTTTATATATTGCTAAATTTGATTGACTTTTTGAGCTTTTGATTTGTTTTTTTGGCATTTTTTTTTTTGGAGTTTGAGTCTCACTCTGTCACCCAGGCTGGAGTGCAGTGGCATGCTCACGGTTATCAAAGCCTCTACCTGCTGGGCTCAGGCAATTCTTTTGCCTCAGCATTCCAAGGTGCAGGCCACCACTCCCAGCTAATTTCTTGATTTTTTTTTGTAGAGTCAGGTCTTGCCAGGTTACTCAGGCTGGTCTTGAACCCCTAGGCTCAGGTAATCCTCTTGTCTCCACTTCCCAAAGTGCTGGGATTACAGGCGTGAGTCACCACGCCTGGTTTGGCATCCATCCTGATGAGCGATAAGGGTATGCAGTTTTCTTCTAGTTTTTGTGTAAGGATAATACTGGTGCCATAAAATGAGTTTGGAAGTGTTGTCTGTTCTGTTTCATGGAAGAGATTATGTGGACTTGGTGTTACTTCTTACTTAAATGTTTGATAGAATTCTCCAGTGAAATCATGTGAGTATGGAGATTTCTTTGAAAGTATGAATTAAATGTCCTTGATAGAGGGCTTATTCACATGATCTGTTTCATCTTGGGTAAGTTTTGGTAGTTTGTGTCTTTCAAGGAATTGGTACGTTTCATCTATGTTGTGTCATTTCTGTGTGTAGATTTATTCATGTTATTCTCCAGTAATCGTTTTTTTTGGTTGTTTTTTGTTTTGAGTTGGAGTCTTACTGTGTCGCCCAGGCTGGAGTGTAGTGGCACATTCATAGCCACCCCAGTGTCAATCTGCTGGGCTCTGGTGATCCTTCCAAGTAGCCGGAACTACAGGCGCACGCTACCACGCCCGGCTAATTTTTGATTTACTGTAGAGACGAGGTCTCACCAAGTTGCCCAGGTGGGTCTCAAACCCGAGGGCTCAGGCTGTCCACTCGCCTTGGCCTCCTAAAGCTAGACTATTGATTTGAGATTTTCTCCTCTAGCAAGGGGTAAACATTTAATTCCTATTATTTTCACTTTAAGCACTGCCATAGCTACATATGACACATTTTTATGTTTTACATTTTCTTTTCTTTTCTTCTTCTTTTTTTTTTTTTTTACAGAAGTTTATTCTTTTTTTCTTTTTTTTTTTTTTTTTTGAGTTGGAGTCTCACTCTGTCGCCCAGACTGGAGTGCAGTGGCCGCTCCCGGCCACCGCAGCCTCGACCTGCCGGGCTCCGGCGATCCTTCCTCCTCAGCCTTCCGAGTAGCCGGAATTACAGGCGCGTGCTACCATGCCCGGCTGATTTTTTGATTTATGGTAGAGATGAGGTCTTGCTGCCCAGGCGGGTCTCGAACCCGCGGGCTCCGGCCATCCACTCACCTCAGCCTCCCAAAGGCGCGGGATGACAGGCTGAGCCACCGAGCCCGGCTTCAGAAGTTTATTCTTAAATGTACGATAGGCTTCAAGATAACACTTCATTTTAGCTATAGGTGACAAAAGAGGTTGTGTCAGGGAATACAGATGCTTAAATATGAATAGAATCAAGAGTCATCCTGGC